TCTGGACACACCTTTTGCTGAGCTCCCTGTCCAGCAGGGTGGAAGAAGTTTTTAATTTAAAGTGGGAAGTCTTTAGCCACACAGCCTTGCACAGCCCCTGCCCACCTTCTCCAGCCTTTTATTTATCTTATCATCTTCCTCCTTCTCAGTCCAGGCTTACATCATTCACAGAAGTTCCCAGAATGAATGAACAGTCTGGCCTCAGAGCACCTTAGCACCTGGCATGTTCTCTTCCTAAAAAGCCGATGCCCCCATTCCGTTGCTTCTTCACAACTCAGCTGGAGTGCTGCCTCCTCCACAAAGCCTTTCATAACTTCCTCTAGTCTTACTTGCAGCCCCTACTCTAGATTTTCATAGAGTCCTGGACACTATGCTATAAAGATATGCCTCGTCCTGTTCTATAATCAGTGGTTTAACCATCTGCTCACTCCTCCTAGAACCTAAGCAGCCAGACAGAACTGGGGAGCTGATAAAGTGAGGAGCAGTGGAGGGAGTATGACACAACCTACAGAGAAAAAGAGGCATCCAGGAAAAGAAACCAGCCTTGAGGTAAGGAAGGAGATTCCCTAAGTCTGTTTAAGACCTGCAGGAGGCCATTTAGAAACTTAGAATGAGCAAATGGGCCCTGGTGCTTCAAGTATTCCAAGTACCAAGCCCTAAACAGAGACAGATGGACAGACAGACAGAATGGCCTTTGCCCTTTCTGGTTCTTACCTTCCTTCTTCCAGCTATGGGAAGAGTTTAGGCCTAGTTATCGAGAAAAGAGTCCCATCAAAAGAAAAAATATGTGAAGCAGAAAAAGAAGACATGCTTGCCAACTCAGATTCCAGAATCTAAATTATTAAGGGCTTATGAGGAGTAAAAGCTTTAAACAAAAAAGGAAATTAAAACCCCCATAATCTCCATGCCCCATGCCATGGGCTCCTTAAGAAATGGTGGCAGAGACAGAAATGAACTTCTCCTACTATAACCTGTCAGTACCTAATTCTAAAAGGACCATATCTAGCACTGACGGGCTGCAGTGGGCAGCAGAGAGATGGAAGTGGGGAGAGGCCTTAAAAATGTCTAAGAATTAATCTCAATAGCCACGATCCCACAAAATGTAACGTGCTATGGATACCAATTGGGCAAGAGGCTAAGAATTCTGTCCATAAAACACAAAATTTATTCCAATAGCTCCCAGGAACCAGTTGTACTACCCTAGAAAAGGTGCAGCTTACGAAAACTTGCCATACTTGGTTGAAGTTGGTTAAAGATGGAGGTGATTCCTGTTTCCATCTCATCTCACCTTTCTTCAAAAGAAAGAACAAGATACCCAGTATCTTCATTCATTCCAACACTAACTCACTCTACAAACAGGTGAAGGTATAGACTATGTTAGGGACCTGGACGGGTCTAGAGAACAAACATGCTTCCTGGTCTACACCCCTGCAGCCTCACAGGAACACAGAAAGCAGTAAACGCACATCCACCGAAGGCCTCTGACTGGGGAGACGGACCACGTACAGACAAGAGCAACCAGGAAAGGCAGCCAGAAAGAAATATGACAGAGATGAAACTCAGGAATGGAAATTAGCTACCAAAGTAAAAGCATCATAATGGCCAGGAGACAAGACAGGCTGGCACATATTAAAGAAACGAAACTTCAGAGAGCCTCGGGCAAATGATGCGTGATGGCAGGGGGACAGCAGAAGTTGTGACAGACAGATGGAGCTGGAGAGGAAAGCAGTGAGGGACCATCCAGAGCCTTATAAACCATGTACCGGACTTTTACCTTTATTTTAAAAACTTTAAGAGGAAGTCACTGAAGGGTTTTAAAGCAAGGGGTTTTTTTGAAAGCACTCAAGCTAAGTTGTGGGAAATGAATAAAAAGACAGGAAATCTGAAAAGGAGATCAGTTAGGAAACAGGCAAGGCCACTCAGGTTAAGACCTACGACAAAATGAAACGAAAAGCAAAAACATAGGGAAATACTTAAATATGATGACCAAGAGTCTACAAAAGAAACAGCTACCACACTGCTAGACCGTAGGACTAAATCTACACCTACACCTACCCCACGTTTCATCCGGCGGCAATCCCAACCTCTTCTGTCAAATAAACCGTCCTACCTAATTATCCGAGCTGTATCAACATATGGCTATTTATTACAAATACATTTTAGAATTTGGTTCCTCAGTAGTACTAGCCAATTTGCAAGTATTCAATAGCTACAGATTATCAGTGGCTACTGAATGCCCAGCATAGATATAAACATTCCCATCAGCAGAGAAAGGTCTACTTGACAGTGCTGGGCTACAGATAGGTCCTTAAATCTGCCACTTCCCTCCGCGAGCCTATTTAAAATAACAGTGGTCACCTGTGAAGGCAGCTCACTCCCTGTCTCAGGCCCGCTCCATGCGTATTAATAAGCCCTCACAGTGCAGTGAAGAATCATGGTGTACAAACCACAAGACAGGTTCTGTGTTTTGGCTCATTAATCCTCACTGTGCTCTGAAGAAATAGAAACGCAGCAGGCATCACCCATGTTTTATAGGTGAGGACACCAAGGCACAGAAATTAACCTGCCTGAAGCTATAAAGTCAATAATGGAGTCACAAATAAAAGCTGGATTCCCCAACGCCCTGACCAGCGCTCCATTCATTAAAGTAGTCATGGCTGATTTAAGAACCTTAGGATAGAAACTATTCAGTTTCACCTGACCCGAGCAATGATTTGCTTTACCCAGTGGCTTGCTACACCCATAGGAGGGTCATATCTTTTAGGTCCTTATATCGACATAGATATTTCTGTTAATGCCCTTTATATAAGATACAGATACACACAGAGACACAGACACAAAAACAGAATACATATATCTCCTGAATTTGCTCCAGTTATAACTTAATGAGAAATAAAAAAGATTAGTCAGGGTCCTAAAACTAACAGCACCACAGTATGGCTGTGGTTAGTTTGTATTATTAACTTGTTTTTTAAATTGCGTTAAGTGGTTACCAAGAAGAAGTTACAAACCCAAGTTCTGCATTTCGTAATTCTTATTTGCCTCTGTAACCAGAGTAAGCCCGACTTTTATGTGCTCTTTTCAAACATATAAAAGCACAAGGAGGCAATTCTTGCATTTTCATTTCAACTATCTGATTAACTGAAAAGAATAAAATAGAATAGAGGGAGACATGAGCTAAGATACAGATTAAAGATTAAAAAAACTACAGATGGCATTTGCTTGTGACACTCTCGACAACAGCAATTTTAAAATGCAGCTGCTGGCATTCACTAATGCCTCTCTGTGTCCTGACACGGAAAAACAATTTACCCGGAGCCTCATTTGAATGATGTGAAAAGTCTAAGAAATAATTCAACCGCCCTTGCCCAATCTCTGAATCCTTACATACTTTAACCATTGTTATACAAAGTACAGAGTATCAAAGGAATGGAGTATTTAAAGTAATTCTAAAGTATTAGGAAGCATACAAAATAATTATTTCTGTACCAATCGTTTTCTTATCAATAACTACGAATCGCAGTACAGAATATAAACATTAAGTGAATTTGTCCATAAAAATGAGTTTCCAAAATTAACTTGACAATTGTTTCTGAAATAAGAGAGAAAAAAACTCCCTCAAATATAAAGACCTTGTTATCCCTGATATCCCTGGAGAATTGGTTCCAGGACCAAAATCTGCAGATGCTCAAGTCTCTTATAGAAAAGTGAAGTAGTATTTGCACATAACTTACATATTTAAAGTATATGCTTTCACATACTTTAAATCATCTCTAGGTTCCTTGTAATACCTAACACATAGAAGCTGTATGTAAATGTTATGTAAATAGTTATTATATGTATGTATTATACTGTTCTCTTTGCATTTTTATTGTTCTACTATTGTTTCTTCTGACTATTTTTTATCCACAGTTGATGTGGAACCCACAGATACAAAGTACCAACTATACCATTAGGGAAAAGGGCATGACTCCTGATTTTAAATACAAAGCCTGATGACCAGAACTAATTTTAGTTGTGAATGTTAACAGAGGAAGCCATCAACTTGGGTATTAAAGCCTCTGCTTCAGCACATACCTTGAGTCAGAAATACAAGTCAATTTAAAAACCATTTTTTAAGAACCACTTACACAGCATTCCTGGAGGCTCCATAGGAAAGTAACAGTTTGACTATATCCACGTGCCCATTCTTGGCCGCGTCATGAAGCGGTGAGTCGTTCTGATACCCAGTGGTGTTCACTAATGCCTTGTGCTCGAGTAACAACTCCACGACCTTCAGGTGCCCATGGTTGCAGGCTTCATGCTAATTATATTATTTTAAAAAGGAGAAAAGTGATAAGAAAGAGCAATGGATAATATAATAACATCACAATTTAGAAAAATACATGTGGCTTGGTGCCTGCAGTCAGTGGTTAGGGCGCCGGCCACATACACCGAGGTTGGCGGGTTTGAACCCAGCCTGGGCCTGCTAAACAACATTGACAACTGCAACAGAAAAATAGTGGGGCATTGTGGCAGGCGCCTGTACTTGGGAGGCTGAGGCAACAGAATTAGTTAAGCCCAAGAGTTCATTGAGTAAAAGTCAAAACTGGTAACAATGAAATGTGCAAAGATGTCTTAGGTTTGAATCCTTCCTTGGGTCCTAATAACTGCTAGCGATGCTTCTGGGTTGTATTTTAATAAATTTTGGACATACTGTACATTTTAAGTACATGTATTTCTTTTTTTTTTTTTTTTT